AAGTGTAGAGATAATTTCGAGATTGTTCTATTCTCGAAACCGTGTATATTAATCATTCATTGTTCTAATCTTACCATATAAACAGGTATAATTTTTGTGCATGTGTGTGTGTGTAAATATTACCAAGTAATATAATAATAACGGTAACAATCAACATAACAATACCAATCAAATTAATGATGTTATTTTAAGCATTTATAACTGTGTGTTGTAGTAATGATATAACATAGAATGCACGATACATCCTGTTTGTGAGGATATAATGTTGAAGAACTAATCATCTCCTAATCAAACTTCAATACGTCGCCTTGCAAACCATCAGCTGATTCCATTGCTAAGAGGTGTTGCTTCGTTAAGTAGACTAACTAACTTCTAAGCATGGCTTTTGAATGATCTATGGAATTTTCGAAACAGATCAAAAATTTTTCTCACAACAATAAATTCCAGCATTTTGATCCTCTGTAAACTTCGAAAAGCCAAAAATTTTGCTATCATTCGAAGTATTTTTGGGATAAAACAATGAATTATAACCATTTTGAGATGAAATATTAGAAAATCGATTTAAAAAAAGAGCTGAAATAGTCCGTCCGGGTTAGTTGTGAAACGGGATTTTAATTTCAGTCTTCGTCGCGACGGAAGTGAGCCAATAGCAAAAGAAAATGAGTACGTGATTGTAATTTGTGTGTGTGTCGTATCTCATTAGTTGCATTCTACCAGATCAAGAGAGATGTCTGTGAGAAGGAGAGCATCAATCCAGTGATATATTCGTATACAAATCGACGAAACATAATGAATTTTGAAATTTTCGAGAAATTGTTCACAATTTCATTGAAAAATAAACTTTGCTGCATATGAATTCAAATTGAATGAAGTAATGATATTTAAGATACTCATTGCTAAGTCGGCATATTCCAATAATGATTGGTGATTTGATGGATTATGAAGATCCCATCGCCAGTGGTCAGCTGAACCAGTCCAGGTTGAGGTTTCTGGGATCGAATCCAGAAAACATTTGCTATTGTGATGAAGTCTGTATTGCGTTCGGAGACTGTTGCTCCGATTATACTTTCGTGTGTCCACGTGCGTTTCCACTTTCTGCACGTTTTGCAATATTTTTCTCGATCAATCCAATCGGATTTCATCTATTTAAAGTTGAATGAATCTATAATATAATGAAAATTCAAAAAAGCTTAATGTGAGTTTCTCGAAGATAAGTTTATCGCATTTTATATCTTCTAGCTTCTGACTGTTATGTGACAAACTGGTCAGAGTGGTCCGCATGCGTCTTGGATGATACTGCTCAAAAATGTGGTGTCGGTACGCGAACTCGAACTCGTGAGGTGAGGCGAGAAGCAAACTATGGTGGTGCCCCGTGTCCTGATCTAGTCGAACAACTGTCGTGTTTTCATGAATGCCCACCGAGAGAGGAAGGTTGAAAATTTCAATCATTAGCTATATTTTTATTCCCGCAGATGAAAAAATTTCATGATGACTGCTTTCACTACTATATAAGAAAGTACCATATGATGAACGCAATGTTTAGATGAAAATCTAAATCCACAGCATGAAAGCATTCAGAAATGTATACCTATGTTCCTAAAGGTATTACGCGTATCTAAGAATACCTAAGGATACGAATAATATCGATATCAGGTCCTTTTGACTTGTTAATTTTCAGAACATAGTAGCAATGGAGCAAATTTCGAAACATTCATTAAATTTCTTCAGTGATTACTTCCATAACTCAGCTCTTTGTTTGGCTTTGTTGACTTTTAAATTACACTGCAATCAATATACAATCAGAGGCTTTAAATTGTACAAGCTTGCGATTAGATATTCAAATTGCTCAAGAACTAATCCCGAGAGCACGCAGTGATCTTCACGAGAATTCTTATTACTTTCCACGGCGTTCTCATCGCTCTGATTCTTTTGCTGACGCTTCATAGAAGTTTTCATTCTTTTCCGAAAGTACTGCGGAAGCACTCATTCTTTTCGTACGATGCTTTCTATTGATACAGAGAAATTCATTCTATTGTCACAGAATATAACTCGAGCAAATTCATTGCTTAATAGAGAACAAAATTGATTAACGTTCCTTTTTCGTTAGCTGACTATTACAGAAATTACTTTTTCTTTTAACTTACTTTATAGTTCTTAGAATGTTTCAAAAAGAAATATAATCAGTGTTGTTGGCGCATTGGAGCGATATCTCGCAATTTTTTGCCTAGATTGCAATTAATTGTCTAGTGCTTAATTTCATGATGTTGAACGTTTATTTGATCAATTTATTCCGTTTATTTGATCAATTTATTTACAGATGTGACAACGGTGGCATTGCTGCTCGATTACAAATACAACGATATTCGAGAGAAGTTGTCTCGTGATAATATTTATTGGGATCTACCTGAGGTGGCTAGCAAGGTAGAAAAGCTATCATAGTTAGTCAATTTATCTACTCGATGATCATCTGTTCATAACATCCCGTCGATTATGCATTCCTGGATATACCAGGTCTTATAGTTAGTTATGCAAAAATATTGGAATTACTTCATTAAGCTGAAAGTTATTTCAGTTATTGTGTTGAATATGAGATCGGTTGGGTGAATCGGAATTGCATCGACAAGAAAATAACATCGAAATTGCATGAAGGCAATAAAATCTGCGCGGAATGTCAACCTGAAGCGCAGT